TCATCAATCGCACGACAAAAGCTGATTTCTTGGCAGTTGAGGAAATCACGGAAGACGGCTCGAAAAAGACGTCTTTGTCAGCATTTGTTGAGTCTTGGTTTTCTTCATTTTGAATGAGCTGGTTCTAACAACCGTTGACAGTTGCGTGTGCTTGTTTTGTGACTTGGCTTTATTGCGCTACATTGCAGCCACCCGGGGACGGCTCTTGGGACTGCCCCACGCCTGCAGATCACCTCCAGCCCAGTGCTGCTGGCCTGGCACCAGAGGAACCTGGTGCGTCTGGAAAAGCATTCAAAATTTCGAGCTACCCGTTGCCGCCAGACTTCAAGAAGGCAGTGCCTGACATACAAAAGTCCAACAATATGAAAAAGGCTGGACCTCTTAGCTATCACCGCGCTGCTGCAAGCAGTGCGGTTGTTGGCTAACGCCCAAAACGGAATTGAAGAGGCGGACATGGCATGGACAGGAGCTCCCATTAGTTGCTTGATGGGTGATGGACCAGAAACTGTCAACTCTTTGTTTGGATAAGGCCTTTTCATTGTGTTCCAGCTCTGTGCGCGAAACAGGAACATTGAACGTTTGAAACTCGGTCTGCTTGAACGAGGCACGGTTGGCTCATCTAGCAGCTTTTTGCGCTTTAGGGTGTCAAACCAATGAACCCTTGTGTCCGCTGCAACTGCGCAAGCATGGTGTGGTCTTTGTTTGCGACGGTCTGCCTGAAGAGCTTGTCCCTGGCATGAATTCGACCGTTCCCCAGATGGCAGCTCTCTACCGTCACTACCGCTTCGCCATGCCTCCCAAAGGAAAGGGCAGCGGGAAGAACGGTGCCCGTGAGGCTGAAGGTGAACGTGCGCGCATGGCGGGGCTACTGGGAAATCGTGCCCAGACCCCCGGTTCAGGTCAAAAAGTTCGCCAAAAACAGCTTTTCGCTCATTGGATGCCGAAGATCAGCCGTCATTTTTAGAGCTGGTTGAGCTGGCCAATGCCGAGGAAGACAACGAGGAAGAAACAGGGCTTGTTGAAAGGTTGAGGTCGGATGGTCCTCATTCATCAAAGCAACATGAGACCCCCACCTTATGCCACCTGGATTTCGACTGACCCGACATACGGTGTGAAAGCGATACCAAGTGTTTTGGACTCAGTCGGATGGTCCCTTGCGTTATCAATTGCGTCAGCTTATCTTTCCATGTGAGTTGTTGGTTTTCTCTCGGACCGGATTTTGCTCTGTCAATGAGAATAACCGTCGAAGTAACTGGCCTGACTGACAACTAGTTGTCAGAAACTGCTCAGGACAAACAACATCCAGAGCTGCGTGATGGCACGGCAAGAAGCTTAAACAGAGCCACCAGAGGCAAAAGCTTCTAAAAGAAGCAAAGCTTCAACAGAGCCACCAGAGGCAAAAGGTTCTAAAAGAAACAAATCTTCAACAGAGCCGCCAGGGGCAAAGGTTCTAAAAGAAGCAAAGCTTTCAACAGAGACACCAGAAGCGAAAGGTTCTAAAAGAAGCAAAGCCTCAACAGAGCCACCAGAGGCAAAAGGTTCTAAAAGAAGCAAAGCTTCAACAGAGCCACCAGACGCAAAAGGCTCTAAGCAAAGCTTCAACAGAGCCACCAGAGGCAAAAGGCTCTAAAAGAAGCAAAGCTTCAACAGAGCCACCGGTTCTAAAAGAAGCAAAGCTTCAACAGAGCCACCGGTTCTAAAAGAAGCAAAGCTTCAACAGAGCCACCAGAGGCAATAGGTTCTAGAAGCAAAGCTTCAACAGAGCCCCGGAGACAAAAGGTTCTAAAAGAAGCAAAGCTTCAATAGAGCCACCAGAAGCAAAAGGCCCTACAAGAAGCAAAGCTTCAACAGAGCCAAGACAACCAAAAGGTTCTAAAAGAAGCAATGCTTGAACAGAGCCACCAGAGGCAAAAGCTTCTAAAGAAGCGAAAAAAGAAAGGCTTCAACACAACCACCAGAGGCAAAAGGTTCTAAAACAAGGAAAGCTTCAACAGAGCCACCAGAGGCAAAAGTTCTAAAAAAAGCAAAGCTTTCAACAAAGCCACCAGAAGCAAAAGGTTCTAAAAGAAGCAAAGCTTCAACAGAGCCAAGAGATGCAGAAAGTTCTAAAAGAAGCAAAGCTTCAACAGAGCCACCAGACGCAAAAGACTCTAAGCAAAGCTTCAACAGAGCCACCAGAGGCAAAAGGTTCTAAAAGAAGCAAAGCTTCAAAAGAGCCACCAGAAGCAAAAAAGGTTTTAAAAGAAGCAAGGCTTCAACAGAGCCACCAGACGCAAAAGGCTCTAAAAGAAACAAAGCTTCAACAGAGCCACCAGAGGCAAAAGCTTCTAAAAGAAGCAGCGCTTCAACAGAGCCACAAGAGGCAGAAAGCTCTAAAAGAAGCAAAGCTTCAACAGAGCCACCAAAGGCAAAAGGTTCTAAAAGAAGCGAAGCTTCAACTTCACAACAACCACCAGAGGCAAACGGGCCTAAAAGAAAAAAAGCTTCAACAGAGCCACCAGAGGCAAAAGGTTCTAAAAGAAGCAAATCTTCAACAAAGCCACGAGAGGCAAAAGGTTCTAAAAGAAGCAAAGCTTCAACAGAGCCACCAGGGGCAAAAGGTTCTTAAACAAAGTAAAGCTTCAAAAAAGCAAAAAGAAGCAGAAGGTTCTAAAAGAAGCAAAGCTTCAACAGAGCCAAAGGAGGCAAAAGCTTCTAAAAGAAGCAAAGCTTCAACAGAGCCACCAGAGGCAAAAGGTTCTAAAAGAAGCAAAGCTTCAACAGAGCCACCAGAAGCAGAAGGTTCTAAAAGAAGCAAAGCTTCAACAGAGCCACCAGAGGCAGAAGCTTCTAAAAGAAGCAAAGCTTCAACAAAGCCAAAAGAAGCAGAAGGTTTCAAAAGAAGCAAAGCTTCAACAGAGCCACCAGAGGCAAAAGCTTCTAAAAGAAGCAAAGCTTCAACAGAGCCACCAGAAGCAGAAGGTTCTAAAAGAAGTAAAGCTTCAACAGAGCCACCAGAGGCAGAAGGTTCTAAAAGAAGCAAAGCTTCAACAAAGCCAAAAGAAGCAGAAGGTTTCAAAAGAAGCAAAGCTTCAACAGAGCCACCAGAGGCAAAAGCTTCTAAAAGAAGCAAAGCTTCAACAGAGCCACCAGAAGCAGAAGGTTCTAAAAGAAGTAAAGCTTCAACAGAGCCACCAGAGGCAGAAGGTTCTAAAAGAAGCAAAGCTTCAACAAAGCCAAAAGAAGCAGAAGGTTTCAAAAGAAGCAAAGCTTCAACAGAGCCACCAGAGGCAAAAGCTTCTAAAAGAAGCAAAGCTTCAACAGAGCCACCAGAAGCAGAAGGTTCTAAAAGAAGTAAAGCTTCTAAGCAAAGCTTCAACAGAGCCACCAGAGGCAAACGGGCCTAAAAGAAAAAAACGCCTCAACAGAGCCACCAGAGGCAAAAGGTTCTAAAAGAAGCAAATCTTCAACAAAGCCACGAGAGGCAAAAGGTTCTAAAAGAAGCAAAGCTTCAACAGAGCCACCAGGGGCAAAAGGTTCTTAAAGAAGTAAAGCTTCAAAAAAGCCAAAAGAAGCAGAAGGTTCTAAAAGAAGCAAAGCTTCAACAGAGCCAAAGGAGGCAAAAGCTTCTAAAAGAAGCAAAGCTTCAACAGAGCCACCAGAGGCAAAAGCTTCTAAAAGAAGCAAAGCTTCAACAGAGCCACCAGAAGCAGAAGGTTCTAAAAGAAGCAAAGCTTCAACAGAGCCACCAGAGGCAAAAGCTTCTAAAAGAAGCAAAGCTTCAACAAAGCCACTTGAAGCAGAAGGTTTCAAAAGAAGCAAAGCTTCAACAGAGCCACCAGAGGCAAAAGCTTCTAAAAGAAGCAAATCTTCTAAAAGAAGCAAAGCTTCAACAGAGCCACCAGAAGCAGAAGGTTCCAAAAGAAGCAAAGCTCCAACAGCTTCTAAAAGAAGCAAAGCTTCAAAAGAAGCAAAGGCGCCCAAAAGGCCCAAAAAGTAGAGTGGGCAAGAAGTTCTGGCTACAGCGTCGCGGAGCGATTCAAAGAAACACTCTGTGTCCCCAGGCCTGCTCAGGGCCAGGTGTGCTCACGAAGCGGTCGCTTTGAGCCACCGGTGTCGCAAACACAACAAACACATGTATCTCTAAATCGTTATCCGACTGGAAAACGGCCAAGAAAGTTCTTGAGGGAAAGCTCTAGCCATGTTGACAGACGTGCCGTCTTAAACGAGGAAGACTAATTCTGGCTTGGCTGCTATTTCCACTGCAGTCTCTTGTTCACAAGGTGTTTCTTGTCCCGAACCACCCATGCCCAGCAGCACCATTTGCTAACTACCTCGAAACTCGAGAATCACCCACTGTGCCTGTGAACCATGTGTGACTTACCTACTTGCTACAGGATGCTTTCTTCCGACAAAAGGATCAACATTATATGTTTGGAGCTTTGAAGCAACTCCTTGGATGTCTCCCTTTGCTCAACTATACCGCGATAGCTTTTTGCAGCCGCTAACAGCATGTTCCCCATACGCGTGTGGAGCCGCGTCGGTATGATGTTGTCAGTGTTGGATGAACATCTTTAATCAAAGCACCGGGTTCAAGCAACCAAGCAAAGCTTGATGCAACCAAGCTCAAAAGTGACGCAGTACGTGGCATGATCAGCCATGCGTTCCTGCTTCCAACATCAGCGCCACAGCATCTCCAAAGACGCAGAAGCTTTTTGCACCAGGAAGGCAAATACAGGCTAAATGACCAAATCCAGGATAGCAAGGGCATCTCTACAAGATTGCCCCGCAGCGCAAGCCCCACAGCGGCTTTGCTGAACAGGAGATCTGTCTTTTTAAGGACTGCAATGGAGGAATATGAAGACCTGGCCATAGCAAGAAAACAAAATAAATTCTGGCAGCCAGCAAAGCAAGAAACTGTCCATGAACTGAGCTTTCACTCAGCTTGCCTCAGGGGTGGCCACACGCCAACTGCCCAAGACATTGGAACCATAAGTCAAACTAGCGAACGCTCAGCAACCTCACTTGCGGCTGAAGCATAGACTGCCGCACGTCTGGCGACAAAAGGAGGAAAGCTTGTTGACGCTTAGTCTTAAAACATCACCTCTTCCCAACAATGACGGTCGTCTCCGGAACATGACAGTCCGATGCTTATCCTTCAGAAGGGATCACATAGTTGAGAAGTTGAGAACACCAGCTGACATCAAAATGGAAATCGAGGCCTCCCTGCCCTGCGACGACTCAACACGTCCACTTGAAGGGAAGCTCCAACGAGTGGAACCAAAAGAGCCCAGGAAAAAACCGAAAAAAAACAAGACACAAACACACAGATTTATTGGGACTCTCATGAAATCGGATGAAATCAGGACTCCGTTTCTTGCAGTCTTCAAAGGACATTGATGGTGCAGCTACTTGTGGTGCTACGCAATATGCTAAACTGCCACAATCTTTGCTTTCCTCACCCAACACCTCACCAGAGGACCTGTGACCCAGGGACATCGAGACAATCACTGACCCAACCCTGATGCACCAGGGGCAATCTAGTCATCTCAAGACTGAAAAAGAGTAAGCCCTATGCCTATATGGCTGGCTTCGAGCTTGCCCCGAGGGCAAAGTAAATCCTTGGATATGTAAACCGGGATTTGGGTTAATGGAGGGCCCAATCAAGGGCGGTCCTGATCAGCATGGCAGTAGCAAAAGCTTGCCTCCCGCATCAGCATGCCCGCGAAACCGGCAAATTCCTCGGATGGAAATAACATTCACACCGGATTTTGACGCTCGCTTGCCCAAACACGTGCTGGACACCAAATTCACAGATCTTGGGGCCCGGGTAACCAAGCACTTGTTGAGGGCAAACATGTTTCGCGCTGGTGCGGTGATACTAGGGCACTGTCCAAAATTAGGGACCTCAAGTGGTTGATTTGCAATTGTTTACATGGTGCCAATTGTGGGAGCTTCCCATCCATGCAAAGTGTTGACACCCTGAGGCATAGGCATTAACGTGGTTCGCCAGCTTCTTCCCCGCCGAGAAAACAGGATCGTTGGTGGTGCGTCGCTTGGTCACATGCACAGGCCTCAGTTTCCCAATCGCAAAACCGGCCCAACCCATCCGGGCTTCTTGCTCTCCACGACGCGCCACAACAGGACAACACTCTAGACACGCGAGCATAAAGTGGTGACTTCTAGACATGCGAGCGCGCGGTGGGTGGTTGCATGTTGCTGCTGTAAGTGTGAAACGTCACTGCCGCCGGATTTGTTCAGGAATCAAATCTGGAGCCAAACAACCATCAGCCAAAGTAAGTGCAACTCAGACTTCCTTGCGGGTGTGTTGAGCTTTGGGAATGGCTTGTCGTTCTCGTTTGCTCAAGCGGCCCATCGCTGCAGCTCACGAGCGTAGCGCTCAGGATAGCCTACGGCGAAAAGGGGGCTTCAATTAAAGCATCTGTTGGCCGCATTGGTGAAATGGTAGTGAAGATTCTCTCCAGCTCGGTCGGATGCTGAAGCTCAAATTTGAACAGGGAAGAAACAAAACAAAACCTGTACTGAACTTGCCAACACGAGTGTCTTGCGTTGCTTTTGGGGTCATTGAGTTCACAGCTTCTGTCCCTTCCAGAGAAGGCATGATGCGCAGAGAGCTTTCAAACAAATCTGGACTAACGCGCGCAAGTACCATTTCGGCGCTGGTGTGAAATCATAATGCTGAAATAACATTGCCACGCCTTGCTGTGTTGCCTTTCTGGCACAGGTTCGAAGTAGGCCTCCACCTGTCAGATATTGGACAAGCCCCGGGAATTTAGGATAGGACTTGTTCACAACAATTTCAACTGCGCGTCGTGTGAAAGCACATGGTTTCCGCCGGATTCACATAAAACCCCGCACAAGATTGCGACGAAACCTAAGGGGTGCCAGCAGCTCTGACTCATTTTGAGGAATGTGTCAGCAATGCAAAGTCTCCTGGTTTGCACATCAGGGCGGTAAGGGCTGTGTCCTCTGGCGAACCCAAGGGGCTTCCCCTGTAGAAATAGCCATAGCCTATGAGGCAAGTGAAACGCTTCATCGGCGCTCTCTGAAGCAAAGCCTGAAGTTGCCTGCGCAGAACGATCCGCAAGGAAACCCCAACAAAAAAGATGCGTGGAGTCGGTGGGCAACGAAGCCCAAAGCAGATCCGTCGCGGAGGTTTGCCAATCACAAATGGTGACCAAGTGCTTAACCAGTAGATCAATTTCCCTCTATCATACCGTTTTACCGTTTTACCCTTTCCCTGCAATTGGCCTACACATCCATCCAACCTCCCTGCCTCGATGGTGCCCCTGTTGTGTCCAAGACTTGCCTGCGGCCATGGCCATGCATTCTCAACGAAACTCTGGTTCCAATAAAAACGATAGAGCATTCAAGCCCCTCTTAGAGGGGACGTGCGGACTACGACGAAGGCGTGTGGAAACATACGATTTTGCACGAGGAACGCATGCTGAAACAGATGCTGCGTGATGTTGGTTTTGCAAAGAAAGGCAAAGATTGTGA